TTAATATGAATGATTTTTGACATACAGCTCATGAAAACCCAAAATTCCTATCTCACAAAATTAGCATATCATTAAAAAAGTAATCTAAATCAACAAATAAATTGTTAATTAATTATTTAAACATTTGGAAAAGATTCCTGAGGCCTTTAAAACTTCCAGCCTGGTTCATCACTCCAAACCCCAATCATGGGTTAGACTGCTGACCTGACTGCTGTCTAGAAGGTCATCATTGACACCCTCAAGCAAGAGGGTATGAAACAGAAAGATATTTCTGAACAAAAAGGCTGTTCCCAGATTGCTGTATCAGGGCACCTCAGTGGGAAGTCGGTGGGAAGGAAAAAGTGTGGCAGAAAACGCTGCACAATGAGAAGAGGTGACGGACCCTGAGGAAGATTGTGGAGAAGGGCCGATTCCAGACCTTTGGGGACCTGCAGAAGCAGTGGACTGAGTCTGATGTAGAAAAATCCAGAGCCACCGTGCACAGACGTGTGCAGGAAATGGGCTACAGCTGCCGCATTCCCCAGGTCAAGCCACTTCTGAACCAGAAGCGGCAGCAGAGGCACCTGACCTGGGCTACAGAGAAGCAGCACTAGGCTGTTGATCAGTTTTGCATGTCATTTGGGAATCAAGATGCCAGAGTCTGGAGGAAGACTGTGGAGAAGGAAATGCCAAAATGCTGGAAGTCCAGTGTCAGGTACCCACAGTCAGTGATGGTCTGGGGTGCCATGTCAGCTGCTGGTGTTGGTCCACTGTGTTTCATAAAGGGCACGGTCAATGCAGCTAGCTATCAGGAGATTTCGGAGCACTTCATGCTTCCATCTGCTGAAAAGCTTTATGGAGATGAAGATTTTATTTTTCAGCACAACCTGGCACCTTCTCACAGTGCCAAAACCACTGGTAAATGGTTTACTGACCATGGTATAACTGTGCTCAACTGGTCTGCCAACTCTCCTGACCTGAACCCCGTAGAGAATCTGTTGGATATTGTGAAGAGAAAGTTGAGAGACGCAAGACTAAACAAGCTAAAGGTTGCCATTGCAGTATCCTGGGCCTCCATTAAAACCTCAGCAGTGCCATCAGGCTGGTTGCCTCCATGCCACATCACATTGAAGCAGTCATTTCTCCAAAAGGATTCCCAACAAAGTATTGAGTGCATAACTGTACATAATTATTTGAAGGGTGACTTTGTTTTGTATAAAGAACACTTTTCTTTTATTAGTCGGATGGAATATGCTAATTTTGTGAGATAGGAATTTTGGGTTTTCATGAGCTGGATGCCAAAATCATGCGTATTAAGCCAATAAAAGACCTGAAATATTTCAGTTAGTGTGCAATGAATCTAAAATATATGAATGTTCGAGTTTTATCTTTATATTATGGAAAATAATGAATTCTATTACAATATGCTAATATTTTGAGAAGGAACTGTATGTTAGATTCTGTCAGATTGGATCCTGAGCAACTGTGAACACATCTTTTTTTTTGCTTCTGTCTCCTCGAACCCCAGTTGGCCTCAGCAGATGGCCGCTCACACTGAGCCTGGTTCTGCTGGAGGTTTCTTCCTGTTAAAAGGGAGTTTTTCCTCCCCACTGTCGCTACAAGCATGCTTTGTGTGAGAGATTGTATTTGAGTCAATGATTCGATGCAATCAACTGGTTTTCCTTAGATAGAAAACTTTGAATCAATTTGACTGGTGAACTGTAAGTTGCCTGGAATGGCATGTGTTGTGAATTGGTGCTATATAAATAAACTAATTAAATACTGTTCTGTTGCATAGGTCTACTGAGCTGGATTTTAACTGGTCATGGTTCCAGCTTAGATGTATGCAAGTTGGAGGAAATGCCAGCGCTGTGAGTAACTGAGGAAGTCTTCACCTAATTTGAATTCAGATTTCTGTACATTATTGTGAATCTGCTGATTTCCTGTTTTTTTTTCTTGTTTATTCTGACTCCTCTTTGACAGGTTGCATTTTTCAACCAGCATGGTTGCAAAACCAGTGCTGCAAATGCAAAGTACAACAGCCGTGCTGCCCAGCTGTACAGAGAGAAGATCAAAACTTTAGCAACACAAGCTACCAGACGTCATGGGACTGAGGTAAAACAAACTTCCTGGCTTACCATGTAGCTTACTTTGCTTATCAAATAAAGGGTCTTCATGGTCAGATCACTAAATTAGTAAATTTTCTCATTTTCACTTCAGCTGTGGCTCGACAGTCAGGGTCCTCTTTCTCCAACTTCTCCCGAGGACAAGCAGGTTGACTTCTTCAGTCTGCACTCACAGGTAAAGGACCAGATTAGGTACAGAAACATTGAAAAGATACACTTATTTTACTCTATTATCCATAATGTGATATTATGGATAACAGTATAACCAGATATATCAACTCTAGATATTTTTTATGGGCGATAGGAGCTTTCTAGATGGTTAAAACTTAAAGGATCCTCTAAACCCTGTAGAAATCCTCCATGCTATAGTTGATTATTAATATTGTGAAACGGTTCTAGTAGAATCTTAAGAAGGCTACCCTTAAAATTTACATTTTGTAGTTTTTCTCCTCTTTAAGGTGCCTTAAAATTTACTTTTTAACTACTTTTACATATTTCTTTTTTGTAAAAATATAATACATACACCATGTAGATTTACATGCACTGTGTTTTTCTTTTTTAAGGCATATTTATTGAAGATTTTGTCATCCAAGTTAAAATGATATTTTACTTAAACTGCAGTTATTTGTTTATTGTTCAATTTAAGTTTTGTATATGCTTAAATTATCCAGTTAAGGGAGATTTGGGTTTAAGTTATATTTTTTTGCAGGATTTGCCTGAAAATCTGAATATGGCAAAAATGTGTCTCAGCAACCCTGTGTCAGAAAAGTCTTCAACCCTGGAAAAAGATGAAGATAGAAATGGTATTTGTAATCAGAGATGAATAATAAAAACATCTATTTGTGATTTTTAAGAATTATCGTTGATCCAACATTCATTTTGATTTCAGGAAATTCAGAAGAAGGTCCAAGTGTTGAACTGCTAAGTGTTTCCCCTAAATCAACCCCAGGTTTGTTTAAAAGTTTCACCGTAAATCATTTACTGCTTTAATTGTATTTAAACTGTATCATTATAATTGTGAAAACATTAAACTTATTATTCCTCCTCATTTCCAGAGCCGTCCTCACTTCTAAAAAAGAAGCCAGCAGCTTCCAAGAAAACGGTACATTTAAAAAAAATAATTGGAAACATTTTCAAATCATGGGTTTTTGCTATACAGTGTTGTATTATAATAAAAACAGTTTATGTATTTCTGCAGCTCATTAAGTTTAAAACAAGCCACGATCAGAAATGATAACGTAAGGGAATACTTGGTGTTAGTTTGTTTAGCTTTAGGCTTAAAGGGACTTTAAAACACTGTTTTAGCACAGATGTACAATTTCTTACCTCTGTTCAAAAAGGGTAATTTCACAGCACTTTGTCACGTAATGTAGCATAACAATGAAAATCAGAATGTTATTAAAGAAAATGGGGAAAAAAACAAAACAAACCGAAACTCATCAAACTTAAAATGTAACAAAAATTCTACTTTTACTTGGTCCTACTTTGAGTTGTCAGCAGAGGTGTCAAGTAGCAAAGTACAAATACTTTGTTAGCTTACTTAAGTAGAAATTTTGGCTGTCTATACTTTACTGGAGTAATTATTTTTTTAAGAGATTTTTTGAATACTACTCCTTACATTTCGTTGCAATTATCTCTACTTTCTACTCCTTACATTTTAAAAATAGACTTAATAGTTTTGTTTCATTTGAGCTCACTTGCATTATTGCCTGTTGGTACCGGTATTTAAAAATAATAAACATCAAAATAATTTGTTTCATCCAGAAAATTAGTTTAATTAAGTCTAAGGAAATTATCACTCAGAATGCATCCATACTTAACATTTTTTCATGTATTACTTTTATACTTTATTTTCTAGTTTTAAAACTGGTACTTTTACACTTAAAGCTTAAGTTGATACTCTAACTTCTACAAAAGTGTTTTTAAACAGTAGGATTTCTACTGGAGTAATAAACATTAATTCTTTTGACACTTCTGGTTGTCAGGCTTATCCAGGTTCATCCATATGCTAAAAATTAGTGAAATGACCCTTTATCAGTCTGCTGAAACATATCAATAATGAAACTAAGCTACGGTAGGTGGTCTTTTAGCCCAAATTTTACACTGGCTAATACGACAAGGTATAAAGCCTTGGAGTTAAGAATGTATGTGATGTCTCTCGAGTGTAATCGGGTAGCTAAGCTTGTAAATGTGTTCCAGTTCTACATTTAGTGTAATAATCTTTATTAAACTAGATTTCAGTTCTATTTCTGGTATGTCCACTGATCATCTTTAGGACTCTGCGTTTTAAATTTGCTTTGGCACAGACTGAACTTTCGTAATGCCTCTCTCTGTCTATAGCTGGCTTCTAAGAAAGGCGGACTGGGTGCTCATAAGGTCAGCAGCCAGAATTTCTCTCAGGTGGAGAAGGCCGCTCAGGCTGCGGACAAACTCAGAGAGAAGGAAGAGAGCTCTACCTCAGATGCTAAGAGGAATGTCCCCTCAGATGAGTCCATGTGAGAACACTAACTGTATTATCATGTGATATTTAAACAAATCACTTACCGTCACCTTCTTAATGTCATTTCTTCCCTTCTTACTATTTTCTTTAGTACAACATCCATGCGTCTGGCCTATAAGGATATAGAGCAGCAGAGGAAACAGGAGGAGAAGAAGCTGAAGGGATTAGAGGGGAATAAGAAGGAGCAAGCAGAGAGACTGGGCATGGGTCTAGGCATGAGGAGGTACGGTGATGTAGAGTTCCCACTAAAATCTTTAGCTTTCTTTGCTTCTTCTGCTCATTTTAAATATTTCTCCTCCTCCCTCTGCAGCGGAGTTTCTCACTCCGTTATGTCAGATATGCACATCATCCAACAGGAGAGTCCTCTTGGAGCCAAAAGCACCAAAGGCCGCAGATTTGCTGAGGAAGATGAATATGAAGGAACATTTAGCTCAAGGTGGGATAAATATATATATATAAACTTGGACCTAATGTTATTAATATTATCAGTTCTTTAGTTGATGTTGATCAAATAAACCATGTTTTTTTATCTTTAGGCACCAGTCACGGTTTGAAGATCAAACAGACTCCTCTGATAGTTTCTCCACACGGTGGGGAGCTGATGATGGAAACGGGGGAGGATGGATGAAGGAGAGCAAGAAACCAGAGCCAGACTTCTACCTGTCCTCCACCATGTCTTCACTTGATGACAGGTAAAATCCTTTATTGTGTTCTGCCCTTTAACCCACCCTCCTGTTTAGCTCTGTATCAAAACAAGAACAGGCTTGTTTACTTGAGATGGCGTAAAGCTGGTTTAGTTATATCCTTTATGATTGCTAAATGTAAACATCATGCGTTTGCTAAATGTAAGGTCTGAGTCCATGATAACATATTCTGCTATCTTTACAGTCATATATTCATGATCAAATCTGATTTCTAACCTTGCATTTTTTTGGACATAAACAATTGCATCATTCTTTTCTGCTTTAATCTAAAGAAAAATCCTGATCCTGGCAGCTGACTGTTAAGTTATGGATATGAATTTGTAATTTGATAGTAATACATTTTATTTAAAGGCATCTAAAACAGAAGGTGTTTTAGTAATATTTTATCTGATGTATCCAAAAACTAAAATCTTTTAACTAAGATATGAACCAGTTTATTTTACCATAAGATCATTATGAATGATCAAGTGTATTCTGTTAAACCCGAACTGTTAAAAAAAAAAAGTTTTTTACCGTATTAATCTATAATTTTCTGGGAAATGATTAACACTAAAAGGTAAATGTTATACAATGACTCACATGTCGGCAACACAAAGAAACTGCTTATTCAAAGCCAAACCCGGTTCGATCCGTACAGCCTCCGCTCTGGATTCCTGAGCAAGACCCTTAACCCCACACTGGAGCTACACAATGGCTGCCCACTGCTCCCCAAGGGGATGGGTTAAATGCAGAGGTGAATTTCTCCAATGTGAGATTAATACATTTAGATTATTATTAATTTAGCCCAAAGACAGTTCCTGGTGCTTAACGTGAAGGGAAATAAAATCAAGTAAAAATAAAAGCAAGTAAAGTAAATAAAACAGTTGAATCACAACCTTAAAACGAATAATACCTCAGTTAGCAGTCTAATTTCAACAGTCAAAGGCAGCTCTAAACAAATTGGTTTCTAACTTTGCTTTCAGCACTTTTACAGTATTCTTGGTGTTTGTTCCAGATCAGTGGAGCATTGGAACTTAATGCTTCTTCTCCATGTTTGGTTCTAGTTCTGTGTGTAAAGAGTAGGCTTGAACTAGAAGACCTGAGTGGTCTGGGCAGTTGATACACTGACAACAAATCTTTTATGTATTGAGGTGCTGATCCATTCACTGATTTAAAGACTAACAGAAGGATTTTAAAGTCTATTCTCTGAGCTTCAGAGAGCCAGTGGAGGACTTCAGAACGAGGGTGATGTGCTCTACTTTCCTAGTTCTAGTGAGAACACAAGCAGCAGTGTTTTATCAGCTGCAGCTTTCTGATGGAATTTTAGGCAAAGCTGTTGAAATAATCAATTCTACTAAAGATAAATGCATGAAAGAGTTTTTCTAGATCCCACTTGGAAGTTAGTCCTTTAATCCTGGAGATGTTCATCAGGTGATAAAAGGCTGACTTAGTAACTGCCTTCACATGCCTCTGAAGGCTCAGGTCTGAGTCCATCATGACATCAAGGTTTTGGCCATAATCAGAGGTCTCTAGCTATGATAGCTGAAGCTGTGAGTTAACTCCTCCTTTGGTCTGAAGATTATTATCTTAGTTTTTTTTATTCAGTTGGAGAAAAATATGGTGCATGCAGGATTTGGATCAACAAGTGATCAACAGTATCAAACGCTGCACTGAGGTCCCATAATACCAGCACTGTGGTTCTCCAGAGTCTGAATTTATACAGATATCAGTGTACACCTTCATCAGGGGTTCTTGGTACTGTGGTTTGATCAGAAACCTGACTGGAAGGCATCAAAGCAGCAGGTCATTCTTAACTTTTAACTGTATAACACACTGCTTTTTCACCAATCTCACTGATAAAGGGAAGGTTTGAGATGGGCCTGTAGTTCTGCAGGACAATTTTTCCAAGCTTCTCTCTTTGAACAATGGTTTTGATAATTACTGTTTTTAAGGCCTGGGAGAAAAACCTGACATAAGGAATGTGTTTATGATTTGAATAAATTCAGACTCAAACAGGTAAAACCTTCTTAACAAAACCTGTGGATGAAATATTATTATTTTAACTCCTGAGAGCATTGGTACTGGAGTTGATGTTAACGTACAGACTGCTTTTCTAATACCTTGTATTTTCTCAGTAAAGAACTTTGGAAAGTCGTTGCAGGCCTGTTACACCACTGATAAAGACAAGACTTTACTTTTATTGCTTTAATGAAAGCAGACAATCTTCATAAAATGAAAAAAAAAATTATAACTTTATACAAGGATCCATTAGGAATTAACCAGACTTAAGTCTGAGTTTTTCCTCCAAATAAACCTTTAAAACAAAATTGTTGTTTTTCTTTTATTTTATAATTATATGTAATGTTTTTTTCTTTTCATTTCAAAAATTATCTTGGAAAAACATTACTTGTTAAACTTGGGTTGATTAATATCCAAAAGGCATAAAGAAAGATCAGCATTAAACAGAAACATCTGCTTCCACCCATTTATGAAAAGAATTATCCATATCTAATTATCCACAAGGGGGCACCAATGTCTCATTTATTTTTAACTGAATTACTATGTTTAGTTTTCCATGTTATATTAACTGCAGAACTTTACCTGGGTAGTTCAGAGTAACACAAAGAGAATCAATGGGTAGCAAATGAGGGTATGAACTGATTTGGCTGTAAATTTACCTTGCCCTGTAATTTTTTTTTACATTTATTTATGTCCAAGTGATTTCAGGTAATTTCTAAGTGTAATAAAGCTCATGATATGAGTCATCAAAGTATTGCAAATGTTTTTATGTCAGATTGCATCAAAATGTGTCTACATTTTGTTTATAAAAATGAATTTGTTGAAAGTTTCCACCTTGTATTGCTAATTATTTTCTGTCAACAGAACGGTGTCCAGAAAAAAAGCAGACTCAACACCCATCTCGGATTCTGGAGAGGCTCGGAAAAAGTTTGGAGGTGATGTCAAAGCAATCTCCTCTGATATGTATTTTGGAAAACAAGACAACTCTGAGGTAACGTACCTAGTCACAAAAAAGAGAAGAAAATACCATAAAATAGTTATTTCTTCAATGCATCTGCCTGAATACCAGGGGGTGACGGTTGAATAAAATTTATACAAACCGATAGCAGACAAGGATTTTAAAAATATATATTTTTCTGTAACAGTATGAAACCAGAACGCGACTGGAGAGGTTTGCAGGGAGCGCCTCAATAAGTTCAGCTGATCTTTTTGACGATCCAAAGAAAGAAACTGGTAAGAAAACTTTTTATTTGTTTATAGAAATAAATAATTTTGCTTCTGCAGTAAAAAGGTTAGGTCTTAATCATTTTAAAGGATACTTCATAGATTCAAGACTTCCTTTTATTTCCAGTTTTATAACTCTCAATATTTGTGCAAAGTGGAGAAATAAGTCAAAAAACACGAGGGAATGAAACACATCATAGGGAAAATAATTGCAAAATCCTCCTAATGTGAGTAAATAAAGTGAGCCTGATAATGTTCTATGCAGAGAGCTAGAGGAAATGAGCAGAAACGTTGTCTGAGAGCAGTAGCTTGGACTCCTAACAAACCAGCACCCTATAATGGGATTTAAAAGCTTTCCATATTGAGCATCATCTGTCTGTTATTCATCATATGGTGAACATGAATATAAAATGTTAGCAGCAGTTAGATGGGTGTAGCTCCAACAACCTTCATCAGAAGAATTTACTTTAGTGAGATTTGTAGTGGTTGTATAAACATAACATTTTAGTTAAGCTAATGCTACAAGATGTAGTTGGTGAGATATGAGAAAAAATAAAATGTATACAGTAAATATATATATTTTTTTAAACATTTGGAAACCGGTGATGTCATTAAAATGCAGTTGGAATTGAAAATGAGCCAAGTCTTTGTTTGCTCCGTGTCAATTTCCACAGGAGGCTCCTATCGCCTGACCAACGTCCTGCCCAGCGCTCCAGACATGTCAGGGCTCAAACTCGGCATGCGCTCGGTTGCTGGGAAACTGTCGGTCATGGCTAGCGGCGTAGTCAACACAATTCAGGTCAGTGAAAAACTTTAAACTCCAGAATAAAATCTTTAAATATCCGTCCCTCCTTGATGAGCTAATTGTCTTCTTCCTCTTTAGGACCACTACAATTCCTAAGGGACATTTTGGATGTAAATACCATTTCCAGTGAGCTTTGAAGAGACGTCCATACTTGTAGCAAGTCTGCACAATTACCAAAAAATTACCTTGTGTATATTTTTGGAATTAAGTGACGTGTTGGGATATAAAAGATATGAGATATCTTCTGTTTAACTTAGACTTGAATATTGTTACTCTGCTTTAAGGTTCCTGGGTTTATGTATTTAGAAATGCTTCAGTTAGCAGATCAAGTAGCTTCAAAGTGTCATGAAGAAGGTGTTTCCATCTTTTTATCTAACGTTATTGAGTTCACACTAGATTCAGATTTGTTAATTGGGTCCATCCATCATGATGCTGCTACAGATTTCTCTCGGTTTAGTCGAAAAAAGCTTCAAAGTGTCCTTTAACCTCCCGAAGTGCACTTACAGACCAGACCAAACAAAACGATAACCGAAACCTGAAGGAGCCAGATAGTTTTCATCTACATTCTGAAGAGCTATAACCGATTATTTTATTTTGCTTTGTTTACGTTTTAAGTAAAGGTCAAACAAATGAAGTTAGAAAAGGAAGAAATACTTGATGAAGATTTTGTAGAATGCCGATCAGTGATTTTCTAACATTCACCAACGCTATGAAAGTCTTTTTGATTTTGGACTTTTAAGGATCCAGTTTGCTTTTTTTCCCTTGGGATATTTTTTTAGGCAACAGCCAACTTGAATGAGTTTTACAGATTAGAACTAAATAAGTCTGATTATCAGTCTTCAATACATATACTAGTCTACTTTTCAATGATTCATGCTGAGGACTGTTCTAGAAGCCCTTTCGGGTCCATTTAAGAACCTGTTTAAACACCCAGTTGGGCTAAACCATCGAGCTCAGGAATTAAGATAAATTTAAAGACCAGAAGTAGTTTATTGTTTTCATAGTTTCATTTTGACGTAAAAGTATACAAAATAGGCCCCCAGTATAGCGCTATTACCACCATGTTTGACATATGGTACAGTATTCATCGTTTCATCCTCTGATTAGAAGGTATTTGGCTTTTCCCTGTGGATAATTGAAATTTGGCCCATGTTCTTTCTTGCTGAGCACCTTCCTATCCCTGAGGATGTTAAATTAATTTTAGTAAGACTCAACACTCATGTCCCAGCAGGTTTCAGTTATTTACAGGTTGAAACTCTGGTGGTTCTAGTTACGTCCTGTAATACTCCAATAAATGTCCTTTTCTCTGAGGGGGCAGCTGGTTGCTTTAACTAGACAATAATCCAAAACTGGTTTAGAAATGGATTATGCATGACTGAAAAAGGCTTTGGGGAAACTCCGACCTCTATTGTACTAAAAAATGTAGTCACTGCCAGGAAAACCAAACAATTTAAATTAGCCTTTTTTTCCTAAAATCCAGCCAGAAATACACGAGGCTTTGAGATGTGTGGAAAAACCTCATTCCTAAGGAATATTTAGGGAGCCTGTAGGTCTGATCTTTGTCCTGAAAATGCCTAAATTCAGAGTTCTTCAACCAATTTTAGTTTTCTAAAAAGGTAGAAGTTTGTTTCAGCATAATTTCACAATAAAAACTGTTTCAAATACATGTTTTAAGAAATGTAAAATAATATTTACCCCCTGCTGACTGTTAAATTTTCATCAGCACTCCGTCTAAACTTAATGGGAATTAAATGACACAAAGAAACATGACTTTTACTATGTAGTAAAATAAAATTATAAATGGAAAAATGGGATTTCTGTTAACTAATTTGAATTTTTTTTACCAAAGACAATCTTTTTCTGTTTTCGTTACACAATAATAATAAAAAATAAAAAAAAAACACTTGTTAGACTATTAAAATATTAATTTACCTTTTTGTAAATTTATTGCACTATTTAATGGATTTTTTTCTTTTCATTTTTGACTAAACGGGCTGCCACTTTATTGTCACTATTTGAATATGAAGCGTTATTACAATGAAAAGGTGCCTTTAAGCTTGTAAGGTTGGATTGTATTGACATTTTTTTTTTTCATTTGGAAACTTGTTGAATTTACAAAGTTTTTTTCAGATGAATTTTTGTAGTTAATGTTGCTGTTGAATCTTCATGGCTGCTGTGTTATTCAGTCCCATTTTGAAAAGCGTCTCCTTTTTGGATACTTCATTAATCTACTCCAATATATTTGGTATGCAAAGTAGGTTAGATCACTCATCCCGTTGCAATACAATAGTTGTAAAAACATAAGAGGACCTCCATGCATTGCTGTTGCTCTTTGTCTGTCAGGCCAGCAGGTATTCAGTCAATACTGCTTAGGATTTGCTCAGAAAATGTGAGACATTCAAAAGTGGACTAGAAATTTCCAGAGTTACCATCTGCCAACTTCATGGATTCTTTATGAAGTGAATCTGATATTTAGTCACCTATTTTCCAATCGTAGTTCCTAAAGCTGGCACTGCTAACACCTTCTAGATGTCTGTTACCTTTTACTTGACTGCTTAAGATTCTGGACAAGTTAACTCCCATCACTATAAGCTTTGATCCAACGAACTCTAGTTCACTCAATCTGATTGAAATGTTATACCGGTATTTGGATTCTTGTTACCTGATTACTCCAGAAGGAAACAATGATAATTTGCACGTGGCAGCTTTGACGTCAATGTTCCTTGACTCAGAGTTAATTATACTTTTGTTTTTTTGCTTTGTCCTTTTGCTTGGTTACAAACAATGTCACTTTTTCAATTTTTCATTATCCTTCCGCAGTTTGTAGAAGACAGATCCTGAAGATGAGATGGAACCATAGCTTTTCCAGTAATAGCTGTGTAGTATAGTGTTGTGAAGAGCTATTGGTTGTCATTTATGTATAAAATAAAGCTATCAATAATCATTTTTTGTTGGTTTTTTTGACACAAATGTTTGCAGGAACTCTGCAGCTGTGCCAAAATAAAGTTCTTTTTGCCTTACTACTTCTCTTTATTACCTAAGTCCAATATTCCATCTACTCTAAGCAGCTTCCCTGTCCCAGCTGGGGAAAATATCGCCACAGCATCATGCCTCCACCACCATGTTTCACGGTGGTATGGTATGCTCAGGATCTTATCATTGTTTTTTGTTTTTTTTTGTTTGTTTGTTTTTTTTGCCTCACATGGCATCTTAAATGAACAATTAGTTTTATGCTACCTTTCCAGAAAACCTCTTAATATATATTTTTCAACATTTTTTTTGTCTGCAGCATAAGACAAAATCATTTGCTCAGTCTGGATATACATTGCGATGCGTTGTGATGAGACTGCTGTGCAGTGATTGAGTGTTATGGTTCTAACATGACAAAAATCAAACATTTAAGCGGTGCTGAAACCTTACAGCACCGCAGCTTCCAGTCTGTTTTTTTTTTGTATTTTTTTTTTTCAAATTGCTATTAATTAGCCCGACTTGTAGATTTCCATATACACAGTTTAGTTGTCTTTTTATTTATGTATTAAGGTACATTAAAACTAAATCACAGAGTTAACAGTTTAGGCTCCATGAGAGAATAATAGGTTAATAAAGGACTTGATTTGTCCCTGATCATTTCAACTATTTCATTATGTTCTCTTTTAGACAGTTACATTTTCAATAAATATTGTTTTTGTGCTTTTAATATGAAAAGTATGAAGAAAATAAAGATGTGGATTCCTCAGAGTAACTTAAGAACCTTGTGGCTTGTTACTTTAAAATTATGGCTGGGTCTTTGCCTTTTTTAAATGAAATGCTATAAACTTCACATCTTTTATCATTTTTACATAGTTGGAATAATGGTATTTAATTGGTACATATGGACATATAAAGTCACATTTTACAAAATTGTTAAAGAAAAATATAGTGCTTTCCAGGTTAAGATGGTAGGTCATTTATATAACCTTTATTTTTCGTAATTAAAATATTAAAATCCTCTAATATTAGTGAGATTCAGAACAAAACCTCTCGCCAACGTGGCTTCCTGCTGCGTTCATGGAAACTCCTCCATAGTCGGAATTTTAAATATTACCACTGCTGCAGTTTATAAGTGCGGAGAATGCAACAGAAAATTAAATTTTAAGTTTGATACAGAATAGTCGGTGCGGATTTAGATGATAGCTAACTACTACCGTATTAGTTGTGCGGTTTTGATAAACCGTCTTTGTTTTGGTTATAAAATAACCAATTGCCCGCGAAGGTAACATTTTGCCAGCGGGCACAGTAGGAGTTTTGTAGCGGTAATTTTTGCTAATCTCCGCTGTTATTAACGGGCATATCTTGCTTTTTTAACTATGAACTTGTTTTTTAGAACGATATCCCACTTTATTCTACACCCGTTGAAATAATTGAGTGCATTTTTCCCAAAGTAAGGCCTGGTTAAATACTTTAATTCGGTTTTTATTCTCTCACTGCTAAAATGCCTGCGGAAATTAAACAGAGGAGGAAGAATCTAAAACAGAACGACGAAACTTCGCACAATTCCACTGCAAACGGAAAGGATGAAGCGCAAAAAGCGAAGCTGGAAGAAGCAGAGAACAGTGGGGCAAATAAAAAGTCCTCAGCTTCAGACGTTAAAGGTTTGATGTGTTTACTGTCGCTTGTAGCTTGCGGAATTCTGAGTTGGTAAGTTCGGGACAGTTATAGTTTTGATCTCTTTTCTGTTGTTTCTTTGCTGAGTGTGTTTCTATCATCCAGGATGGTGCTGCAACAGAATGAGAAGTTCTCTCAAATCGAAGAGAAGTACAGAGCTCTGCACGAAAAAACTTCCAGCCTGTTGGTCATGGAGGAGGAGATGGTTAAAGTTTCCAAGAAGGTGAGTGCTCATATTCCTGCAGCACTGCTAATTAACAGCTGTGTCAAAATATTACACATTTAGTGAAATGTTCTTTCATTTATCAACTTCGACCGTGATAAAAAAATCAACTTGAGCCGCAGTAGTAGACATGCAGTATGTCAGCTGTTTAGAACCTCCACGCCAGCAGAGGGCGCCAGCCTTTCACAGCTGAACCAATTATATCTTCCGTCAATCAGCGAAATAGAAACCTATTTAGACAATAATAATAATAAAAAAAAAATTTAAATAGCTAACATAGGAAATTTAATGTGATATTTTAAGTAAAAAATAGTTAATTTTTTATTTGACATAGAAGAAAAACAAGAAATAAATTTGATTACATGTAAAAGCCAGAAAGGAGTGTTGTGGTTTTTTAAAACCACATTTCCCAAATTATTTATAAGGGAATCTGAGGATAAAAGCTAACAAATATAATAAATGTAGTAACCCTTAAGGGCTGGTTATACTCCCCGCAGCAGTGTGTCGCAGTGAGCGTGACGCAGACATTTTTGATTTACGCTCAATTTTGAAGCGTGGTCTGCGACATGTTATATTCCACGCCACAACGCAAGAGAATCATCAACTACTTGTGGGTCTAGATACGGCAGAGGCGTTGAGGAAGTGGGGGCAAGTTTGTGCGACAACGGAGGGACTTGAGTGTGAAAAAGAGCGGGCATCCAGGTGCTAAAAGGGTTTCTTTGTTCTCACACACCTTGCTCTTCTATTTGGTCCAACGTCACGAGTTGTTTTCCACAATTGCAGTTTATAAAATCAGAACAAGCCGGCCTCCTGTCTGCGGCACTGTCTGCAGTCAACTACAATCTGGGAGAGGTGCAGCAGAGTGTCTGCGGAGGGGGCGGGGACGTCTTTTTGTTCACTGCAACACCTACGCAGACGACCTAGTTTCGAAGTATAAATCAGCCTTTACTACTAGTAATGATTACTATTGATAGTTTTCATGTCCATTTAATAACCAAGCTGTTTTAGTTTTAGCAGTTTTATAAGCCCCCTGGTGGTGTGCAGGTCTAAAGCAGCTGCTCTGTTTGCTTATGATCGGGGCCATCTCTCCTAAGGTCAATGAGTTAGTTTGAAATATTATTTTGAAGCTGCTATATAAAAAGAATTAAATCATAAGATAACTAAATGTGAAGTGAATCTTTAAATCTTATGTAATGTTAACTGAATTTTGTTTTTTTGTTTGACAATCAAGAGAAATCCTGTACGTACTTTTCATTTTTTTTTATGAATTTCTTTTCTCTTTTCTAGTTATAAACTAAGATATTTAAACATGTTGAGCTACAAGCCAACCTTTCTCTGCTCTTAAAGCATTTAAATGTGAACTATTAGTGCATTAGTTAGTAAACAGAACATGAGTCCTGCTGTTTATAAAAACTTTGCCGTAGACTTTCAGGAAAACCTCCAACAGTGTCGTTCTGTTGTACAAAGAGTCAAAGAGCTTCACAGAAACAGCGCTACTCTTTTTTTGTTGCGGCTGTAGCTTGCTGCATCCGAGGACGACCTTCAGGAGGCGCTCTCTACGGTTTCCATGGCAACCAGACTCCAGCAGGACATCTCCGCTCTCCACAGCGTTATCATGGCAATGCAAGCCGAAGAGAACTCCGCTTCCCGAGACCTGCAGACGGTTAATGCCCACTTCCTCAACGTGACGGAGACGTGGCAGGAGAGGCTGGCGGCCATCAACTCGGACCTGGTGGCCCTGAAGGCCGAGGCCAGGGAGGCCCACGCCGGCGCCATGGAGCAGGTAAACGAGGCGGAGCAAAAGGCGCGGACGCTGGCGAAAAGGCTGGAGGAGCTGGAGGACAGCACAAAGAGGAACGCCCGGGTTCTGGAGCGGACGGAAGAGGACGATGCCAAGCGGGCGCAAGATCACTTGGACTGGAACACCAAACAGATCCATAAGCTGCAGGAGCAGATCAGCAGCCTCACCAAGAGGGAGGCTGAGCTGAGCTCCCAGCTCCAGGATTACATCCCCAAGGCTCAGCAGTGTGAGGAGAACCTTCCACAAGTGGAGGAGGCTGTACGCTCGATCCTGAAGCTGAACAGCGATCTAAACGGGGCAGAGAGGAGGTTGGAGGAGGCAACGCTGCAGGTGTTTGGGACGGAAGACAGCATGTTGAAAGCTCTGAACGAGATCCTGGAGATCAGACAGGAGCTGGACACACTGCACGCACAAAACAGCATTCTGAAGATGAAGAATGAGCTGTCCGTAGTTAAAGAGGCAGTCAGTGAACTCACCAGGGTTCTGAGGGGAAACAGGGCGGAGACCCAAACAGACCCGGACACTTTGGAGGATGAGGAATGGAAAGATGACGAGGATGAGCCGTGGCCGGAAAATGAGCTAAACGAAGCATCTGAACGTCTTCAGAATGACATTATTGAATGAGTGTTTGGGAACCAGGGCTTTTCTCAATGTTTTCTGTTGTAGTTTTTTAGTCAAATCAAGTGTTGCATTTGCTTTTTTTTTTTTTTTTAACATTTTTACCTCAGAAATAGCATCACAGATGTCAGCAGTCACATCTTGGCTGCTCTTGATCTCAGTATTACACGTGTTATAAGTGATATTGTCACATTTTCAAACACTGAAAACAGGAGATGTTTTTATTTTGTTTTGACTCAATAAAGTAACTTTTTTAAAAGAATAAAGATGAGCTCTTTGCATTTTTCTTGAGTTTGGTAAACTGTGTTTCCCATTTCAGTTTGAAAGCGTTCAGCAGAAGCTGGAGGGTCTCGGGGCCCAGCGGGGGAACCTGGCCCCTCGCCTGCAGACTCTGGAGCAGGACATCGTCCAGCTGAAGGACTGGGCTTCCGGTTTGAGTGACAAACAGGGGCAGCTTCATAGCAGCTTGACATCGTTGAGAGACGCTGTGGAGCAAATCGAACATCGTACCTCCGCCATCACAAAGGACTTCACCAATAAGGTGTTTTACTTTCTTCTCTTGTTATAGTGGAGTGTTTCTCGAGAATGTCAAACATCTAGTTTAAATAATAGAGATCTGGGCTAAAATTGATTAAAACCCTATCGTATGATTAATTATGAATCAAGTTTGTGCTTAAAATTGTTTATAAGATTATTTGTGGTCAGCCTACAAATAATCTTTGCCTCCAGAAGTGATTTAGCTCGTCCAAATATAATGTTCCGGCATCTTACAATGATGTCCATCTTTTTATCGTAATGCAATAATTGTTGTCAAAAGGTTAAAACTTGGGTGAGATTAAACCACATATCCATGCTGAGTTTTAACTTATGCATTAAGTTCTTGTTAAATCAAATATTTTTAAGTCTTATTCCACTGTTGCACATGAAGATTGGTAAAATACAGTAAATTGTCATGAAAGTGTATGTTGGTGCTGCTTCTGCAGGTGTCCTCTGTCAGGACGGATGTGCGACGGATGGAGGGTCTGCGTTCAGAGCTGGACTCCATGTTGACGCAGCTTGGAGAGCTGGAGGATAAGACCAATCAGGTGGAGCGCGGCATGGTCAAACGCATCGGCGACGTTCTGGCCAGCAGCGTCGACCGGATCTCCAATCTCAGATCTGCGTCTGAACGCAACACCAAGGCCATAGAGCAGCTCCGGAAGCACATCCCTACGCTCACAGCCGCGGACCAGCAGATCTCAGAGCGTCTGCAGGAGCTAGAGAGCGGCCGGGCCCGCCTCATTAGGACGCTCACATTCGCCGCTGACCTCAAACCAAAGGTGGCTTCCATTAAGAGAGACTTTGAAGGGTTTGAGCCTCAGGTGTCTGATCTGATTCTCAGGATTGGACAACTGGCAGAAGATCTCTTAGAGAGGGAGCGGGAGATCGCTGAGCTCCGGCAGACTTTATCAAACCTCACTGCAGTGGAGGGAGATTTAAGTGTTACAACTAAACAGGTTAGTCAGATGGCTGACATATCAGACACTGGAGAGATGCCAAACCTAAACTGATGAACGTTACCTTCACTACTCTGTGATCACCTGTCAAACTACTGCAATAAAGATTAGAAATGAAGAAAAAAAAATCTGTAATTTTCTATCATGTTTTTAACACCAAGTTTTACTGAATCTGATTTTTTCCTACAGGGAAACAAGCATATCAGGGCTCAGAACAGAAGGATCCAGGGATTCAAGGCAGATAACACATTTAGATTTCTCAGAATGTTTTATTAACAACAGAATTGGATGGACGGCGTCTAAGGCAGGAACCTCTGGTCTTATCAATCAGTCTGAGTCCAGAGGTAGTGTATTGTTCCAGCCAGCTGGCTGCCAATGCGGCGCAGCGGTTAACGCACAGCGAGTCCCAGACGCAGGTGTCAGAGGACAGGCAGGAGATCAGAACCAAGCCGACAGATGTAGGCAGGATAATCAAGAGGGCGAAGCCAAAGCCAGTGTGTGAGACACGGTCGGTTGTCAGAGCCACGAGGTCAGAGATCCAGTGAGGCACTGAAGGAGAATCCAAGATGGAGTCAGGTAAAAGTTCCAGGCTCGAAATAATCTGGCACTGATGACTGGTCTGAAGGCTGGTTAAATAGATGTTAATGCAGGTGAAACCGATAAGCAGATAATCAGAACTGGGCGGAGCTAAGCATGTGTGTGAAATGAGTGATCAGACCATGCATCAGTGCTGAGATCATGACACCAAACACCTTAGATGGAAAATAAGAAACTGTTACTCGACTAATTTCAGATTAATTTAAATGGCAAATAAAATCAGTCAGATGTTTTAGTGTTCCTTATTTATCCACCGTCCATTGATGAAAGCATTCTCTCCCTTTGATGTTTTTCACATAGGGAGGGGTTCATGTGATTGACCAGCATATAGCATGCTTAAAGTATCAGGAGAGTTTTTAGTATAAGAATCTGAAAAGTGTGGCATGCATTTGTATTCCACCTCCTCAGCCGGTGCTTAGTAGAATCTGCTCACTGTGCAATGACAGCTGCAGGTCTTTTCCTGTACGTCTCTACCAGATTCACGCTGCTCTTTTTTTATGCCTGTATTTAATCTGAGGCTAAAGTTTTGACTGGACCAACTTTAAGATGTGAATATTTTTGGATCTGGCTGTATAATAAGGGTCATAAATTTCCATTCCAGTCTCTTGTTTTGCAGCCTCTAATAGATGCCGTGCAGCTGACGTCACAGACGGCCATATAGTACCTACTCTGTTCCCCCACGCGTAAAAGACACCCCCCACATATGTAGTGCAGAATCGTCATGACGTCAGGCTTCTGAAACGCTTCCATAGGTTCATTCATCTTGGACTGACTTCCGTTCTCCTAGGAAGAAGCATCCCTCAGCATGATGCTGCTAGCTCCATGGTAACCTATGGCCTCTCCCAAAGGTTAAGATTTGTGTAATTTTATTACATTACAAATTCCCACTTACTTTTTTCCTCATAAATTCAACACACATCTTTTAAATAAACCTTACATGATGCTTATTCATTAGTTGGATACAGCTTATGTATTTAAAATACGTAACTTCCATGTTTATTTTTTATAAAATGATTAAAGTAGTTACTCAAAATTACTACTAATGAGTGTATTTATTCCAAATACATAAAGTTTGTTTAAATTGCATAATAATGAGGGATACCTTAACGTAGTACAATGAACTTTATCTGATATAAATACATTTATTATTTTAAGTACCATAAGTATATTTTATTAATTTAAATCCATTAACCTGATGACAGTGTATTTACAATTAATAATCTTTATTTTGCACCTGAATATGCATCATGTAAGGTTTAGTTCAAAGGTTTTTGATACAATAATCTTAAAAAAAAACTAAATTGGAATTACTTTTGGTATAAAATTACATAAATATTAAATTTTGGGTGAAATATTTTTGTCCTAAAGGATTTAAAACACTGGTATCTGTGCTTCACTTATTTGCTGTCCCAAAATGCACCTTGTTTCGCATTGCGTAGCAACAAGGTGCTAAACAAAATAATTTTATCACAAATTTCAGTCATTAAAAAGAAAAACTCACTTTTGGAACAAAAGGTGTTTTTATTCTTTAAAAAAAATCTAACAAGTGAAAAACGTAAGTAAACAAAGGAGTGCTTAATTTCTTCCTTTTGCAACTGGAGGGTTTTTTTTTGTAAAAATAAAAAAAAAAATAAAAAAAATAAGAACACAAACATCAGAGAATGAAACTACAGTGCAGAATGTAGGTTTGAACTTCACAGATCAGCAGTTCTTTTTTCTTTGTTTCCTCTTATTATTTTTGTTCTAACAAGACTTACAGCATCAAGACATCCATGCCACCTTTTTGAAATTACATCTTAAAATTCTACTGTGGAGCTTTTGTCTCCTGTTCAGGCATTGTGGTGTGACATTACATGATAGTCTTTGGTGTTTTTCTCTCTTCCTGAAAGGCAGTGAACGCCTCATTGTGTTACAGGTGATCTATATTCTGTCCTCCAAAACAGTCAGTCTCTTCTCCAGCTCCTCCAGCTGCTCATCCAAACCCGTGTTCTTTGCTGTTAACTGGTTCTGGGCTTCAACGAAAGCAGCTAATTTGTTCTGCAGCTCCTCCAGGCTGCTTTGTCCTTCATCTCGCTTAGCTCCTGTTAAACCATCAACTTCCTGCTTGGTCTCCTGCAAGGCCTTCTCTAGAGTGCGAATGGCAAGATCGTGGCTTTCTAACGTTGCTACTTCGCTCCTCACTTCTTCAACTGCTGTTCTTAAGCTCTCCAGCTCCACCTGCAGAGGAGTGGAGCTCTCTGAAGCTAGCTTAGTTTCCTCTCCACTCAGACCTATGTTGGACTGAAGCTTCTCCATACGGCTTTTTAAATCCTCCAGCTCTTGTTTTAGATCATTTTTTACTCTCCCCACTGCCTCCCCCTGTGCAGATAAGCTGCTTTCATGCCCGTCGTATTTGGCAAGCAGCCCTTCCACCTTACTGCTGAGGTCTGACAGTGATGCAGACAGCGTATCGCTGTTTTCCTCTGACAGTTTAACCCTGGTCTCCAGATCATCAGCTCTTCTCAGGGCCTGAGCTGCTGCTGCATTCGCTCGCTCCTCGACAGCGCGGACAGCATCGGTGACCTGCTCCAAGCTGCTTTGCAGGTTCACAGTTTGCTCCCCCAGGCCTTGCACTCCAGCCTCCGCTGCAGATAGAGACTCCCTCAGGCTCCCGGCGGTCTCTTGCACCACCGACCTCACAGATTCGAGCTCCTGAGACAGAGAGGTGACCTCCTTGTTGCGTGTCTGAAGCTCTTCTCTCACAGAACTTATCTGCATTCTGAGGGAATTGGTAGTATCATCTGCTGCTTCTTTGGCTGTTTTAATTTCAGCTACAACCTCAACGATGGCGGAGAGCTCCTGTTTGACAAGCGTGGGGTCTGCTGTGTCGCTCAGACGGGCTTTGAGGTCAGCGAGCTGCCGCTGGGCTTCTCCCTGACCCTCTGCGAACTCAGCCACGCTGGCGGAGATGGACTGGCTCACCTCAGCCAGGCGCTCTTCCACGGTCGTCTCCAGAGAGGAGAAGTCCTTCTCTCGAGCCTCCTTGACTTCCCTGATTCCCTCCGACAGATCCCTGATGAGATCATTCTGGAGCTTCTGGAGCGCCTCCTCTACCCTCCTGGTCTCTAACTCGCCCCTCTTCATGCGGCTCACTGCTGCCTCCAGCTCCACCCGTGTGATGCCCAGTGATGACTCCAGCCCGTCCACATTGCTTCGGAGTGACTCCACCTTGATGAGACATGAAAAAAATCCACATTATAATATCGAATTTTGATTGCAACATCTCACCCATAATTTGCTCAAAAAAAAAATATTTTCAGGCAGGAAAGAGTTTTCTTTGTTAAATCTCCTTTTAGGGCATGCAGGTGGTGGTTAGTGCGCATGACCCATGTACAGTGGCCTTAGTCCTCGACAAGGGCGACCCAGGTTCGAATCAGGCCTGTGGTCCTTTCCCGCATGTCTCTCCCTCTCTCTTATACCCCTTTTCCTGTCAGCCTACTGTTGGAAAAAAAGAGCCACTAGTGCCCTAAAACCTAAAAAAAAAGTGCTTCACAGAGAGCACTTTTTCCATTAAGTTTCTGCTGAAAAGCTCCAATCTGGTCTCCTCTGATCATTTGCTCACAGTTCTGGTTAAACTGCAGCAAAGGATTTACATGGTTTACATTTATGATATTAGGGCAAAAAAGGCTTCCTTCCATCTAAGACTCCAGCTTTGAAGTACGGTGGTGGAACCGTCATGTCTGGGGCAGCCTTTTTTCTCACAGTTCCAGCTGTTTCAATTTTTGTTTTATGCATTGTTCATTTTGGTGGTAAAGGTGGTCTTTTCCCCCTTTTTAGAAATGACAAAAAAAAAAAAAAAAAATCAGTACCAAGAAGTGAGTACTAAATCAGAATGATTTCCTTCAGAGATATTTAACTGACAGCCTGTGGGCTATTTTAGTTTATGTAAATATTTTTTGTTACATTTCATTTCCTTAAACTAAGTGTAATCATTTTGTAATTAAAATCAGGTGAACCATCACTGCCTTTCTACACAGTAGCATCAAAACAAGAAAGTTGAAAATGATTTGCAAATTAAATCTGTCAGGATAAAAATTTATTTAACAGGATGAATTTCCTATCATTTTTCTTTTTTAAAAATCGTTTCATATCTTTTATATGACTTCATGACGTTTCTTTGAACAGTTTTTTTATGCATTAATGAATAAAAGCTGTAATTTTAGCAATGTTTATTAATAGTATTATTTAACTGATGTTGCTTCCCCGTTAAATTATTTCAATAGCAGTTTAGATGGTCTATATAGTCCGGAGGTCTTCAACAGGGGGTCCGCAACCCCTAAGGGGTCCACGGAGGTGCTGCATGGAGGTCGTGAAAGTTTTGGGTGATTAGACTTTTTTTTTTATATGCCCCCCGGCAATTTTTTATACTTATTGAAATGTCTTAAATCCACATTAACATGAATTCAACACACTGTAGTAAACAGATAAATGGAGGCAGAAGATGCACACATTCAGCGACACACAGGAGCTCTTTCAAGCTGGGCACCGTTTCATTCACAACACCTGTCCCATGAACCAGGAATCAGAAATATTTTAATTATCAAGGGCGAAATTACTTTCATTATTGCTCCAGCTGTAAAAAGAGTGACTATAGGACCAGTTTGATATAACACAATTTAATACAATTTATATAATTAGGGGTCCCCGCTCATCTTGTGATCAGTTTGGGGGTCCTTGGTGTCACAGTCTTGGTTCTGTTATGTTTTCTTTTCTTTTGAGTATTCAGTTTAACTTTGCTCCATGTTTTCTAGTCTTATTGGTTTAATGCTTATTTGCTTGTGTTTCTGGTTATATTTCAGTTCTCAGGTTTTTATTTGTTGCCCTCTTGTGTTGGTCTCCTTTTTCCCTAGCTCCTTAGACTGCTCCCTTCACACCTGCTCCCAATCTGCTCGTTACTCCTCTCTTTGTTCAGTTAGTCATAAATACTCTCCTTGTGCAGTCCCTCAGTGCTGGTTCCTTGTCAAACTTCCTCTAACTCTGTCTTACTGTGTCTTCCTCGTATTGATAGTTCTCCCCTCTAGTCTCCATGGTTTCTGGTTTGTTTTAGTTTGTTCATGTTTGATTTTTGGATTCCTGCCTAGTTGTCAGTTAACCTTTCATTAAATCTACAAGAAACTCACCTCTGCCTCCCTACCTCTGCATTTGGGTCCTCAAACCCTGACAATTGGCCTGGAAAACTTAGAAGACCCCTGGTCTAGTCAAAGTCAAGAAGAATGTGGAGAACCTTTTAGCCTCTGGGTGCAAAAACCCGGTAGAGACATGTCCTAAAACAGGCATCCCCAACCTCGGTCCTTGAGGCCCACTGTCCTGCAGGCTTTAGAGGTTTCCCTGCTTCAGCACAGCAGATTATAATGATTGCAGTAGACCGAAAGCCTGTTAATCAGCTTTCAATTAAAATCAGCTGTGCTGGAGCAAGGAAAGCGGGCCTCGAGGGCAGAGGTTGCGGATGCCTGTCCTAAAAGACCTTCAACTGTTAATAAAAAGTGGTTCTAAAACAAGTGTCCACACTTTTTGATTATTTAAGAATAATAAAGTTTTTTAGTTTTATTATTTATAGCTATAATAAAGTTTATAAGTCATGTTTTTAGATGCTTTTGGTTGAAGTTCACACTGGGTTTTTGTCACAGTGACTCTTATCATTACAAGATGTATCATCAGTAGCTGATTAGAAATCATTACAGCAAAGGAGCTATAATATACTAATAATTACAGTATTACTTTTATCCAAACTTAAATCTCTTAAACAAGGAGAAATCAAATCCCTCGTTCAAATAATGTTTAATTGATTCTCATGTTTTGTTTTGTTTTTCTCACCTGTTGAACGAAGCTCTCCATTTTGGTGCCCATCTCTCCGCTTCGCCGCGCGCTCTCTTCATGCTTTGCATGAATCTGTCGGACTTCCTCCACAACTTGTTGTAAATAAAAAGCTGCAAACCCAGCAGCCCCTATCATAGCGATATAAAATACCGTGGTTACAAGAAGCCCTAGACAGCTACCTGAGCGGGGCCCCTGCGGCCCCTCGGGGCCACTCACCCCGTTGGTGGCACCGCTACTTTTCTGGCTTTTCTTAGGCGCGTCATCCTGGCTGGACGCTGCGCTCTTCTCGCTGTTCTTTGATCGGTTTTTTGTGGTCATGTTTCCAGCGGAGACTCGGTCCGGAATGAATGTGTGAGGAAGGAGATCTGGTTGTGCTGTCGTGGATGGAGTGGGTTCCCAGTTCAGCCCCTCTTGCTGGAGCAGCAGCGTATCAGGGAGCGCGTCGTGTCTTTCCACGGGGCTTTTTTTGCATCCAAGTATGCGGATGGGGGCTGTCCGTAAAACAGACCCTCCAGGAGTTTAATAAAAACCTACAAAACTACTAAAAACAATAAAAGGTTTGTGTCGTTTTAAAAACATCCCAGTTAGACATTATATTTGCAGGATTTTCTCCTAAATAAATAGGGAGGAAAGCCTTCTGGAACTTATCAACTTCTATAGTCATGTTAAAACTTTCCGATATTAAAAAGTTGCACATTTTATTCCAGAAACCAACCATTCATCAAACAACCTCAATAAATGGCCTGTTTTATGCATGTTTATATTTCTACATGATGATGCATGCCTGATGTAAACTTGCTTCAGCGCAGGGAGGAGCTCCCTGCTTTCCTCCAACATGCTCCTCCTTTCATACGTGGCAGCTGTGGTCTGCAGGCAGCCACATCCATAATTACATGACTGCTCTGAAATATGCATGTCTGAAAACTCACAAAGTCATCGGATAAAGTGGTTCAAACTCAATGCCTGCGATGGTTTCAGTGTTACGGACGAAGATTAGGGCCTAACTGATTATTTCAGTTTATTATGGGGGGAAAAAGTCTGACTTTAATCTCAGAAATTAGACTAATCTACCAATTTTGGATCTTGAAGTAGATGAGCACCATGAAGGAGGAGATATGGAAGCACTCAGCTTCACTGATAAAGATGAAGGAGGAGTTGTGCATGGAAGAGGATTAGGGCCACAGAAAAAATAAAAAAGTTAACAGATTTTTTTAATTATTATTTCAGTTTAATATGGGGAAAAAAGTCGGAATTCTGACTTTAATCTCAGAATTCTGACTGTAATCTCAGAATTCAGATTTTTTTTTCTCAGAATTCAGACTTTTTTCTCAGAATTCTGACTTTAATCTCGGAATAAATCAGGATAATTCAGAATTCAGACTTAAATTTCAGAATAAGTCAGAATTCTGAGTTTGATCTTAGAATTCTGACTTTGATCTCAGAATTCAGACTTTAATCTCAGAATTCTCACTTTTTTTCAGAATTCTGACTTTAATCTCATAATCTCAGATCTGAGTAGGATTTTTAAAAGCCATGTATTGTCAGTAAATACGTTTACCTTTCTGAATCATTGTGGTATTATTGCATACCTCTCACCACCAGGTGGCGCTAGCTGAGCGTTTAAATCTAAACTAGACGTGTTCTCTGTTACGTTTGCAACTATTTATATTACAGATTTGGACATTACTTTAATTGTTAGTTCAATGCTGCATTTGTCATATATTTTTTCCCCATTTATAATTTTTAGCTTCTATTTCTAGAAAAAAGAGACCCTAAAAACAAATTATATTAATCAGATCATTGTCTCATACCTTCTTTATAAGCCAACTCTTTTATTATTTAGTCACATCTGAGAAGCATTATGTAATGTACCAGTTGAGTAGTATTTTTCTTTAACTGAATTGTGCAGTTTGAATGTAAAAAAGTTGAGTTTTTAAGACTGAGTTGCATTTGATTTAAGATGCTGTTAATTTGATTATATGTTTATAGATTTGAGCTGTGTTAGTTTATTTATTATATCCTAACAGATGTTTTGTGGTAAACATGCAATAAAACAGAATGTAATTGAAAGGGGGAAAAGCTGTCGGGAAATAAACAGAAGTTTAATGTTTCTTTGAAGCTAGATTTGTACATTTAGGTTAAAATGTCTAATGTTCAATCGAGCTAGTTATGTAGAGAGTATTATTTTCAAATCTTGACATAGGTTCTCTATCCATCTAGACCAGGACTTTGACAGATTATATGTTTTGAGTTAAACTAATCCATTGTAGCTCTGCGTATATACAGAAGGTCATTGTCCTGTTAAATGTTAACCTCCCCTCAAGTCTTTGGTCCTCTGTAGCCTCTAACAGGCTTTCAATAAAGAATGAATTCTGTTTTTTGTTACTGAATGCATCCCATCACCATGATGCTGCCATTACCATGTTTCATTATTAAGATGGTGTGTTTAGGGGTAATGTGAACAAAAAGCATTTCAGTTAAAATATACATTTTGACAGCTTCACCCACCTGGGCCGTGGACATGGTTGTCTGCAGAGGCGTAGCCAGAAAATTTTTATAAGGGTGGCTGGGCAACAACCAGTGACCACTAAGGGGTGGCCAAAAATGGAGAGGCACCAGAACTTTAGGGTCAATCTACACTGTTCCAACAGGAAAATGAACGAGCAAAACATCCACATTTTCTAAATAAAGACGAACTTTACTTTCCTACAGCCTTTGCTAACAAATAGATGCATATATTTAAACATCCATGCTTTCTAGATAAAAGGTATAGTGGATTAAATTCTTTCAGTTTTGAGTTCTGGGGCAAACATCTTTTCCAACGTTGTTACTTACCTACTTTTATCAATTTTATTCTGCATTAAACTGATATTTACAAGTACTATTATCTACATAAATTAATTATTTAATATGTTTTTATTAAAATAGTTATTTATCCATGACTCCTAGATGAAAGCAGAGACATAATTTTCTCTTTACCCTATAAAACTCAAAATCTAGTTCTGAAAAGAGCAGGGTTTCTTTACTTATCAGTAGTATATTGATGTGTGTTTTTGTTATAAATTACTTATGAATATATGAAAAAAAAGTAAATATTATATAAAAAATTAAAATGTTTTGAATATTCCACTTGATTATTAGGTGAGGAAAATTGATAGGGGTGGCCAGTGATTGGCTAATGGTGGCCATGTCCCCCCATCTAGCTCCGCCCCTGGTTGTCTGTCAAATAAAAGATCATTTCTGTGTTTTTAGAAATTAAAATTTGTGCAAGGCGCCGCACTACAAAGAAAAACAACAACAAAAAAATTATCTGCGAGATGATGCTTTATTTCCGAGCGGATCCTGAACGCAGCATATGTCTCCGCCCGCCCGGTGGGCGCTGTGACAGCCTCCAGACGCACATCCCCGGATGACCTGCCACCAGGTGGGCTGTGGATACCGCAGAGACCCGCGGCCGTTCCCGTGTTCCATCAGAACAGAAAGTAGCTCATCTCAGTAATGCTTTGTCTGCTCACCGGGGCTGCCTTTCGGATATCTGGAAATGTCATTCCGCGGGACCCCTGCGGCCTTAACCTTCTATGAATAAAGCGAAGGAAAGGCGCCGAAATGAAGAGCGACACCGGGAGAAGAAACTGAGCCGCTTGTTTATAGCTCGAGCGGAGGACAGCTAGCAGTTAGGCTGGCCAGAAAGCTCACAGCTGGGATATCGGATTAGCTCCACCATGGCTGGGCTCATCAAGAAGCAGATCCTGAAGCATCTCTCCAGGTTGGTCGATGTTAGCAACAGAGAAGCTGCCAGGAAGGCAGAAACTGGTTTTTAACAGAATATAATTGCTTCTATATGAAACAAATTTATCTCAATGTGGGATTTATTTGGCACAACTTGCTTGTCAGACATCGCAGTTTTTTTTTTTTTACACAGAACAGGAGTCATTAATCAGCTAATGGGTTAGCATCTTTAGCTAGCTGTCGTCATTAGCTAAAGCAGGTTCGACCAGCTGCGTGTGAAAAACAATCTCAGCTTCCACCTACAGACACTTTATATCCACTAAGCTTCTGTCAACACTCTTCATTTATCAATTTACCGCGGTTGGATTCGGGGTCAAGGTTCATTTGAATATGTTATGGACGTTTTAGAGCAGTTAGACAAAAACTATACAGCTTCTCTAAGTCTGTTTCATCTGATAAAATGAAAAGCATCACTATAAGGCATAAAAATAAATAAACTGAAAAGTGACACCAAGAGAGAAATTAACTAAAGGAAGGTGGAAGTACTAAAACAATCTGAAATAAAATAATCTTAATTTATTGTAGTTTTAAACCTTTTTATCAAGCAAGTAAGATTTTGTTATAATTAAGCAAATTCTTAAGAACTGTGGGTGCAAAAAAAGGTTGAAAAAGATCCTTAAAGAAGGCAAATGTTTATCAGATCCCCTCACTGTCTTTTCCAGGGCTATGTCATTGACTGTATTGCAAATTAAATGCAAAACAACTCAAAAACCTCTTAGTTTTTCTTCTTTTTTTTTAGCATTAAGTTTTTTCAAGTAGAGACTGAAACAGATCCACATTCAGCATACCATGTGAAAAATAATTTAATAAAAAAAATTATGCATTTTATCTAATTTAACACAAGGACATAATATAGTGTTTATGTTTCTGTTTTTAAAAAAAAAAGTAGAATCTCTCAGAAACAAATAATTTTCCAAACAAATTATGGTTTTTAAGACTTAAAGATCAGATTAACTTGCACTTCTTCATATCTAAAACTGAATTAATTTCAAGTCTTGCTCTGCAGCTAATGGCTTTACCAGTTATTTATAGATGCCATGTCCTGCTCTTATGAGAAGCATTCAGCTCCACACAGCTTTATATGAATAATTTATTTTTTCCACTGTCTCTCAAGGGACTTTCAGTGCTTCCTTGTTTGGTTCCTGGAAAACCTTGAAACAATCAGGAAACAGAATTTAAATGTATGTAAAAAAAGAAAAAAAAACAACATATATTTACTCTTTAATTAAAGCTCAAAGGCTACTACTTTGTCCTTTGTATTGCTAAAGGCGCAGGACATTGTCCTCTTCTGTCATCATGTAGTGTCTTCGCTCATGACTGTGCATGCCGTCAGCAACGTTAGCAGGAAATGAGTCCAGGAGTAGTGATGTGATCAAGCTTTTGGGCTCGTCTGATCTCAGCTGCCGCCTTATTGGTCGGTTACAGATCAGAAGCTGACCTCTGTGAGCAGCCAATCCTGAGCCCACCCTGCACGATGATGTCACAGCAACAATGCTGCTGTCAGAATGGCAAAGCGCCATTACCTCATT